TCAGCCGCTCCCCATCAGACTTGTGCTCCAGACCCTTCACCACCTTCGTTGCCCTTCTCTGGACTCGCTCCAGCACCTCAAGGTCTCTCTTGTCGTGAGGGGCCCAGAACTGAACACAGCACTCGAGGTGCGGCCTCACCAGTGCCCAGTACAGGGGAGTGCAGGGCACGGTGCTGGGCAGCACAGCCGAGCGCAGGGGGCCGCACACCCACCCTCCTCCCCACCACCCCTTGCTCCCCTCACGCACAAGCTCACCTCCCGCTCTGGCTCCAGGCTACTGGGACCAGTAATTTCCTCTACGTAATTGGAAGGAAACCACAGCTGCTTCTTTCCACCATAATCTCCTCTCCACCTGGAAGAGAGGGCAGGGGCAGCGTCAGCACCCGCCACGGGATCCCAGAGCATCCTGACTGGGGACACTGGGGACAGGCAGCTCCTCCATCATCTGCTTTTAAGGTTCGTGAGGCTTTGGGGCTGTGCAGGTTGTGGGCAATCCCCAGACAGACCCAGCCCTAGAGGGAACACACCTTTGTATGGATGGTGACACCAGTGTTTCACTTTGTCCCCGAGGGAAAAAGGAGGCTCAGGACCAACTCACCAGCCTCCTTCCTGTTTCTCCACATTCTGGATGATGGCGTTTTTGGTGAAGGTGAGCTCGTCCTCCCGCTGCGCCTTGTAGTCGAACAGGGCTTTGACTGCGCACTGCAATGAGGAGGGGTCCCATGAGGCCAGGGGAAGAGAGATCACCTCCCACCGCAGACGTGTTTGTTGGGGGGGGTCTGTGGGGCGCGTTGTGTGCAGGCAGCATCCAACCCTGCTGCCAGAGGCTGCCAGACCCTAGTGACCCTTGCAGAACAAATCAAGGCCCCTGTTTATGCCAAACCCAAGGTCACAAGTCTGGCATGGCCCCACACAAGCACTTTCTTTTGGGTCAGAGCCGCTGATGGGTTTAGTTTGGAGAGTTCAGAACAAGAAGCAGCCCAGCTTGGGAACCTGCAGGCTCAGCCTAGAGCATGTCTCCCTGCATGGTCTAGAAATGAGTGTGCAAAATAATACAGCTCTTGGAAAAGAAAGACATTTGCTAAATCCTCAGGCCCTGCAGGTTGTTTCACGCCAAGCAGTGAGAGCGTACCTTGAAGGTGGGCATGGGGTTGGCTTCCACGTAGAAGCCCGGATGGCGTCCCTCGTAAAGGGCTCCATAGTCTGGTTCCTGTAGAAGCAAAGGGCCAGCAGTTACAACAGTGGATCTGCAGGAGAACAGGTCCTCTGCCTTGGGGGAGGTTGGGGGAACGCCCCAGGGAAGGCACAACACTAAAGATGATGCTGCCCACACTCCCTGCTGACCTGGGTCAGAGAGGCACCAATAAATCTCACTCAAGCCAGCTGAAATGTTTCCAACAGGGCATGAAGCCCCAAGAGGTGTGGACTGTGAGACACAGAGTTGGCTCCCACAACACCAAGTCAAGGCACCAGCTCAAAATGGACCTGTCCATCATCCTTTGGCTTAGCTCTTCCAACAGCCACCCACACTCACCGCTGTCCCTATCTTCTCCAGCGTCTCCTCGTTGATGGGGTACCTCAGCTTCATTTTGCGGTACAGCGGGTGCTTTTCATAGTAGCTGATCAAGTCCACCAGGCTCTCGAACTCGGAGTTGCCAAGCAGGACGGTCTGGCCCTCCTGCTGCACTCGGCAGTGTTTGATCTTCCCTTCTGCCCTGGCAGGTGGAAAGACAGAAAGAAGCCACTTGGCACCTAGCAAGAGAAGGTCTCTGCCAAAATAAAGACACCCAAGCAAAAGGTGCCCCCGGACCGGCTGCTGAGCACAGCCATCTCCCATCAGAAGATGGGAGGAGAAGCAGCATCCCAAAGACTCTCAGGAGGCTCTAAGACTTATCCAGGGCCACCCAAGGAGTTAGAAGAGCTCTGGGAGGGCTCACACCAGGCTCACGGCCCCTCTCCTGCTCTCTCACACGCTGCAGCATCCCAGCTCCTCCTCCCGCGCCCACCACCCTTCTCCCAGGGACGCACCGGAACGAGATGGCGTAGGAGCTGGGCTCGCTCCTCTTGCGCACCAGGAAGGCTCCGTCGCGTGGCACCCGCATCAGCATGTGCTCGGCCTGGGCCCGGGTGAGGTTGGCGTGGTACCACCTTTCAGGAAAGACGTGTCACTGTGCACAGGTCTCCACACATCCAGTTCATCCCACACCTCTGCTATGCCACATGGTTTCCCTCTCCAACCCCTAAAAGGCTGTTGGAATCCTCAAAAGGAGGACAGGAGGCAGAGATCATCAAATATATAACACAAGGCTGTCTTCTCCTTTCTGGGGCAGGCAGAAACAGAGCCATTTGGTGACACACGGCATGGGCGAGGGCATCCCATCACCTCCTTGCTTTGCTCTGAGCATCCACAACAGTCATGAACAACGAAGCTGGCCAGCATGGCTGCTGTGACACAGACAGCTCCACGGGGAGTGAGCAGGGACCAGAGAGCCCCAGCAAGGAAAGAATGACTGAGGAGACATCTGGGAGGGTTTCCCGTGGGGTCCTAGGTACCCAGTGGACACGACCCACCCTCCCCAAACACACACTCACTCTTTGCTCTCATGGGCATTGGTCTGTGGCACCGGCTCCGTCAGCCTCATCTCAAACTCATTGCACCTCAGTGGCACCTCCTGGTAGTGGGTGATGAGGTCGTAGAGGCTGTCGAACACCAGGTTGTCTGTCAGGAAGAACTTGGGGCTGCCGGCATCCTGCCGCGAGTGGATCCGGCAATGCTGTACCTTCCCGTTGCGCCTGCAGAAGGTGGAGAGAGTAAACCAGGATCATCCATGGAGATTTTGCACCTGCCTCAGGCACAGCTCCAGCCTGGACCCGGCTGTCCTGCCCCACAGGAAACCCATCACGCAAGGGTCCCAAGGGCCTTGACCCTTCTGCACTGGGACAGCGAGCTGACGTGATGCTGGGGCATAAAAAAAAGGGCAGAAACCTGCTCGCAGACCGCTGGGGAATGGGACCCCATGACTAAAGACAGTGTCAAGATAAAACTACCCCGGGAGTGACACAGAGCAGCGGGCTGGTGCCTGTGGCTCTCACCAGAAGGAGAGGGTGTAGTCCCCAACAAAGGTCTCGCTCTCTCTGACGAGGAAGGAGCCATCGGGGGCCCCCGTCTCGATGCAGTACTCCGTCAGCAGCCGCTCCGCGATGTGCCGCCCGTCACGTCCCGCTCCCAGCTTGCCGTGAAACCACTTCTCCGTGGAGTGAAGCTCGGTGCTGTTGCTCACCTGGCAGGGAGAAAATCCACCGTCTTGGGTTTCTGAGGGCAGGTTCGTGGTGCCGGAATCTGCTCTGCTCAAGGGTCTTCCAACCAGCACCAGGGAGTTTCTGAAGCAGCTCCCACCCTTCCCACCACAGACTCTCCCCCTGCAGTGGAGATGCTCAGCCCCTTGGGTAGTCAAGTTCTTTCTCTAGGGGAAGAACTCACCATCATGCAAGGCAGCCCTCACCTCCTTTTGCTCTTCCTCATCCTCATTTCCTTGGTCACTAGTTGTTTCCCCAGAGTAATAGATCTTACTGCTGGTCAGGACAAAGTAATGTGGGTTCCACTCCTGCAAGGAAACAAACTCTGGGCAAAAAGACCCCCTTGAGGAAGCACCAAGCTGGCCCACCACCCATCTGTGGGATCATGTCTTCCTGATCAGCATAAGCAGTGAGGGGTGATCGGGTTTGCAAAGGATAGTCACCAGCAACACTGATTTCAGTGGAGTCACAGGAGCTTCTAAGACATCCCCCAGATCCGAAGCACGGATTTATCAGTAGCCAAAAACTAGTGATAGGTCTTATGTACAAAGTGACCGCAGGTCACACCGCAAACGCCCCAGCACGTATTAAAAGGAGATGACCAAATGAAGCGCAAATCAATGCAGAAAGAAAACACTCTGCATGGATGCAGCATGGGGGCTATCAGAGACGTGGATATCAAAGATGGTTATGCGGCTTTACCATTGCACTTTCCTGTTTTCCAAAAACCTGTTTCGTTCGCACAGGACTTTGCCTGACAGATCCTCAGCAAAGCAGCTGAAGAACAGACCGTGTATAAGTAAACGCACACAGTAATACGAATGCTCGGCGCTTTACAAAGCAGAATGCTCGTTTAGGTGTGTTAAGTGTGTAGGCACTTGGTAGGAGGCAGGCAGGTCTAGAAACGCAGGCCACCACTAGAACTTACTGCAGCACCAGATAACAGGCTATACGGATTACACAAGAGCAGCTGCAGTGCATCAGCCCAGAGCTCCCTCTAGCTCAGCCTTCTGCCTCTAACAAGGGCCAACAGGAGATGCCTAGGGAAGAGCACAGGAGAGAGCCAGCATAAAAACTCCCCCAGCCTTCAAAAGCCTCCTGAGAAACAGGATAGACCAACGGCCTCTTAGATCATTTGCCCCGCAGCCCTTCCTTCCAGCACCACACAGTGCCTTACAGAGTCACCATGTCATTTACGGAGCCCACAGAGCAGGGGCCAGGGTGACTGTGGCAGAGAGACGTACGTGATTGATGGGGTCTTCCAGGTAGAGGATCCCGTTCTTGATGGAGTTGCTGATGTCATTCTCTGAATACATTATGGATGTGGGCAGCTCCTCGTAAGCGCTGCCCTCTGCCAGCTTCTTGTGCTGTGGGATGAGAGAGTGGGTCAACCAGTGGGTTTCTCCAGACTCAAAGGACCAAAGGAAGACCCATGCCACAGAGATCATCAAATGGCAATAAAGTCCCACCCTTTCTTCCCAGAGGTGATTCCTGCCGCAGGAATACCAACATCCCCCCAGCTCTCGAGAAAGGCAGCACGCAGCTGCTCTTTGTCTCCAATTGGTTTTTGCATCAGGTCTCCACTTCCAACCCTGCCCTGCCACCCAGCCCCTCCAGAGGTAAGCAGCTGCCCTTGGTCCCACACCCTCACCCCATCTGCCCCCATGCTCCCCACTTAGGAGCCTTGCTGGGGAATGGGGTTCACCTTGATGAGAATCTTCCTCTTGAGCTGGTTTGGAGAGGGAAGGCCATCAGCAGAAATATCTACTGGTTTGGTCAAGAGCATGTCTCCAAAGACCTTCTTGAAATTCTGAGCCATGTTCCTCTGCTGAGCAATGCTGCAGTGGTCCTCAATGGACAGAATAACAGGGAAACTGGGAGAAGGAAAAGAGCCGTCAGAACCAGCTTGGTGTCTGGATGGAACCAACGCCTCCTGAGCTCCGTTTCAAAATCCTGGCCTCCGTGCCCTGAAAGAGCAGTTTGCATCAACAGCGATCTGTGCTGTCTTGGGCATTCAACGTAACCACCCTATAGCAAGGTGTCCCCACCGCTGCTGGCAATGCATAGAATGCAGAAGGACTGGCAAACTACTGGGGTTTACCCAAAGCCTTCCCTCCCACAACTTTTTTCTGGGAGAAATCTCCCTTTGGCTGGGAGATTTCCCAGCTTTCTTCCCACCGAATCCCAGGCACATGGTCTTGTGCCAGTTCTCTGGATAAACGTGGGCTTCGCTTTCCTACAGTCTTGGCTCTACCTTCTCTTTGCCTTCCTGGCAGCTCTGCTAGCTGAAGGCCAGGTCCCTGCCGTACTCACTCGGAGGTGACAAAGGCATGCTCCTTGATAGTGACCAAGACATCAGAGAACTTGATCTTGGTGGTTAAGGTGTGTCCGTGGTAGATGACCGGCATGCCATCGGGACCATCCCAGCAATCCACTGAAAGAGACCCACGGGGAAAACTTAGCCCAAAGGCTGGAATATAGGCAGGACACAGATGGACACAGATGAGATGGACTGAACTAAGCGCTGCTGGGAACCGCGTTGGATGGTAGTAAAGGAGCAAGGTGAAAGTCGAGATCTTTCTAGGGGACCAAAAGCTCGGGCAAATACCACCCAGTCCCACAAAGCAAATGACCTCAGCCCTTTCGGCACATCGTGGTGGTGATGCTGCCACTGGCACATCAACCTTCAGCCCTGCCTTCCATCCAAAGCCTTCCCCGACCATTACAAAGTACCACGACGATGGAGACAGAAATGCTGGCTCCCAGCACTCACATTCGATGCAGCGGCATCCCATGCGCAAGCAGCGGGCGTACGCCTCCAGCGAGGACTCGCTCGAGAACTGATCCCCCGTCAGGTACCTTTCATGTGAGAGAACACATCAGCAAAGCAACACGCTCGCGGTGGGCACGGATGTCTGCTGGGACATCGCGGACCTGCCCCTGCGATGTAAGGAATGGCGAGAGCGATGCTCCTCCAGACCTGCCATCTTCCCCCCGTGAGGGGTTCAACTCTGCCCCTGCTGCAAGGGGCTGCAAGCACCTACTCCGAGGTCCAGCCTTGCTGCTGGCTCTTGAGATAAGCTTCCAAGAGCAAAATCAGCCTTGGTGCCACAAAGAGCCCCCTGTACCAGGCAGAAGCAGCCCGAGAGGGGGTTAGACCAGCTCTTGTAGGCAGACAGGAGATCGCTGCCTGCCCTCCAGGCTGCTCAGCTGGCTTGGGTTGTTGGTCCTTTCAATTTGGGCTGCGGTGCTGCCACTGCATCCCAGGAATGGGGAGCACAGAGAGAGCCTGCCTGCAAAGAATGCAGCTCCTGCAAGATTCTTCTAGCAGCAGAGAAGGAAAATGGCCAATTTTAGCCTGCCAGGTTTTTATCGCATCCGTCCTGTGTGGAAGATGGCATTGCTAGTGGTAAGAAATGGCCAGAGTGACAGCCCAGGACCTGAAAGCACTATCTGCGCAGATATGTGCTGCTGACCCCACCAGAGCAAAACATTGATGGTTAAATGATGGAGGGAGGACGGGGGCACCAAGAGAAAGGTCTCTGAGCTACTGACCCCAGGATGGAAAAGTCTACTTGACCCATCACTGGGATCAGGTGGAACCAGGAGAATCCCACCCTGGCACAGGGTGGAGAGAGCCATCCCCTGGTCCTTACGTGTTGTGTGAGGAGGAGATCCAGTAATGGGAGAGGGGGTTGTTCATGTTCTCCAGACACACCATGTCCAGTTGCGAGTTCCAGATGCTGTTCTCTTTGGAAAACAGGAAGGTGAGAAACTGCTCAGGAAGAAACAGAAGTGTGTTAACGATGCGGAGGAGCCGGGTGCTGTGGTTTAGCTTCACACACCTCTCGCCCTCCCTGTCAGCAGCCACCAAGCAGGTCGCTGTTTTCTAAGCTCAGCACAGACTGACCAGAGCCGACCACGACAGCACACAAGCTACCTGACCCAGCCTGCTCAAGGAACCACAGCACAGGCATTGCCACCTACCCTCTGAGCTGTGCCAGAGATCTGTGTACAAATTCCTTGATCCAGCTGGAGACAAATGAATTGCTCTGCATTTTATTTGGCAGCTCACATGGCAGGCAACAGCTCACTAAGGCCACGTGGGGTCAAGGGACCTTTGCATGGGAGTCAGTCCAAAGCGCCAGTGATGTGGTCATCTCCAGTTGTTTTTATTCTTTTGTTTTCAGCTCTTCTTGCTTTGAAAAGAGCCTTACTTGCCCCAAAGGGGCATTAAGCCAAATGCAGCCCCTTTCCTCCTCCAAATGAACTGCGTGATGAGCACTCCCAGCTGTACACATTCAGCACAAGAAGAGAGCCCAGAAGTCATTCCCTTCGCCAACCACCCCTTGTGCAACGTGGTGACCCACCGAGCTCATCTCCTAGAGCAATGTCGCTCACAGGAGCTGTGATTCTTGAAGCACAGCCACCCCGCAGAGAAGACACAGACCCAGAGCTGTCACACCACGGCACATGTCACACCCTGCTCCACCCCACTCCATACATGCAAGTGATCAAGGTGTCTTACTTCATCCAGGGAGAAATAAGGCTCATCAATCTCCCTCAAAGGGTCTCTCAGAAAGTTGAACATGAATTCCTGTACCTGAAGGGTATCTGCAGCCCACAGCTCCTGCAAACCCCAAGAGAGACATAAAAAAGAAACCATTTCAGAAAGTAATATTCAAACCCATGTGCAGCTCATCCAGCTAGAAGCTTTAACCATTAAGGAGGCAGTTTTTAACGCAAGACCATCTCTGCCAGAAATTCAACTGTCAGCACAAATGCCAGATAGCACGCAACTGCAGAAATCTGCCCTAAGTGGTCTTCATTTCCTCAACGCCATGCATTTTTCTCTCCGATAGCTCCTTTGCACACATCTGCCATCCCTCCTCTTTCGGCAGCAGAAGCCAACTTGGCTTCTTTTTGCTTCTCTCTCTCCCTGGGTGTCTTTCATTAGCCCATTGCAACGCCTGCGTCTCTTCGCTGGTTAACTCTCCGCTCGCTGCGGAGCATGGCCAGGGAGGTGGTGGTGGCAGACGGGGAGGAGGGTGTAAAGCAGGAGGCCCCACGCTCTCACACAAGCCATGGCACTGCTTTCACGAGCCGTGGCAGTGCTTTCATGAGCCACTCCTGTACTCTTGGAGAAAGAGCCCGGCAATGAGACGGGGGGAGCCCGGCAAGATTTGAAATAAAGGGTCTGTGCAGCCTGCAAACGCGCTGCTTGTGCCTGCGAGCGTGTCCGAGCTGTGCTTGCTGAACGACCTAAGATCGCTTTTAAATGGAAAAGTCAGCAATTAAATCAATTGGCAGCTTCTCAGGAGCTGCCGAGACCTCCCGAGCAGACAGGACCGGCCATGACGCTTCGGCTGCTGCAAACCTTCAGTACCAGCCAAGGTCACAGGGACTGGGTAAATCTCCAGTGACCAGTTCCTCCATCCTGGGACCTCCACTCCTCTCAGATCTTCTGGTCTAGGTCCTTTTTCTGACCAGGATGCCTGGCTGAGGCCACGCTTACCCTCACCAGCCCTTCCCCTGCATCACCTCCTGCTCCAGGAAGGATGCGCTCAGGTAGTGGTCGTGCCAGGCAAAGCACCCCACCACCAAATCATCCCAGCTCCATGCCAAGGCTACCCTTGGAGTACCAGATCCCTACAGACACCGGTGCCTACCCCCTCATCCCTCCCCTGGGCCTGTGTCAAGCTCACCCTCTGGTACTCCAGCAAGAACTTCTGCAACTCCAGCAGCGACACCCTGAAGTGCTCAGACCTTTCTCCAGCCCTGAAAAGCAGAGAGAGAGAAGCTTCAGTTGCTCGTGCAAGCACAGCATGACCAACTGCTGCTGGCATCACGTGAGGCTCCGTCAGCAACCACGACGGCACGTGCAAGCAAGATGTGCCCCAAGCAAGCAGTGCTGCAAGGGCAGAGCGGGATGAGCAGAGCGAGCAGAGGAGGGCACGACAGCAAAAACACAGCAGCTGAGATTATACGTCCACATCTCAAAGACAAGGACCGCTCCAGGAGCAGTCCAGGATTCGCGCTGCCAAGGGTACGACAACGTAGAAACTCTGGTGAAGGGCAGTAAAAATCATCAGAGGGACCGATGTGTACCAAAAAAAAAAAGAGAGTCTGGCTTCTACAAGAATGAAAAGAACTAAATAGGTGCAGGGCAGTCAGGGGGTGATTGTAGACAGGACGGACCGACAGCGCTCCAGGAGCAGTCCAGGATTCGCGCTGCCAAGGGTACAACAACGTGAAACTCTGCTGAAGGGCAGTAAAAATCATCAGAGGGACTGATGTGTACAAAAAAAAAAAAAATAGAGTCTGGCTTCTACAAGAGTGAAAAGAACTAAATAGGTGCAGGGCAGTCAGGGGGTGATTGTAGACAGGACGGACCGACAGGTATCCAGAGGCGGGGAATGACGGAGGGAACTGTTTGTAGCCGATTATCTCAAATGTACCAAGCTGCAATGGACAGCCAAGGGCCATACTGGGGACTAAGACCAAAAAACCCAGAAATGGACTGGGCAGTGCTGGCTGCCCTGGGGAGAGGCATGAACCAGATGGTCTGCTGAAGTCCCTGCCATCTCTCTCTTGTCTGTGATTATAGGAAAAAAAGATAAAACCATGGGGAATTACCTGGATGACTTAACAAGTCTTTCACTCTTTAGCTTCCGTGTCTAAATTCAAGCTCTTCTCATCACGGCCGAGATGCACAGAGGGCAGGGAAAGGGCACAGTTGGCAACGGCCCCACAGCCACTGCCTGCAAGTCCCTGGCATTGTGGCCAACCGGCACCGACCACGAGGATAACCTTTGGGAGATGGCTCAAGGGCTGATTACTTCACTTAAACCAACTGACCGTTTTTGGAAGCGGCTGAGCTCAGCTGGATCTCAGTGGGATGTCTGGGAGGAAGAGAGCCCTTACTAACCCCAGCTGAAGTGTCTACAGCAAAGATGCTTATTCAGAGTGCAAAAACGCAAGCGGCGCGAAAGAAAACAGCAAATACAGAGAATTATCCACCTTTCTAGGAACGGGACATCCATCTGTAAAAGAAAAAGCACAAGCATTACGTTTGCACTCAATCTCACCAACTTTCATCTTGTGAAAGCACAAATTGATCAAGAAGGTAACGGGGACAGCAAACCAGCACCACGCAGCTTGGCTTTCCTTACAGCCTTTGCTCACCCACCGCCTCCCCGACCCCAGCAGCCCCCTGCTAACCAGCCTAAAGCAATAACTTCTTTACTCCCTGTCATCCCTGGCCCAGAGGCAGGAGACAAGAGCTATTAGATGAGGGCAGCAGCGTTAAAAAGGCCATTAAGAGGGAATGCCCAGTAACAAATACGGTCTCTCCCTCCCCTTCCTGGCCCTGAAGAATTCAGCTCTTACCATTTTCTGGGCGCTGAACATCAGGCTCCGGTAGAGCTGTGCAAACTGCCCGTACGTGATATCCCCGTTCCTCTGCTCCACGTCCTGTGGCAAAAAACAACCCCAGAGGTTTTACAGGGGCCACAGGCAACTCTGCATGGCCTCAGGAGTGTCTCCTCCCGCCAGGATTCCTGGGGGAAAAGGAGGAGGGAAAGGCCAAAACCTGGCCAGACTTTGCCTCCTACCTTTGCCCATCTCTGCTGGGGCCAGTGGCACCCTTAGCACCCAGGACACAGGCACGTCCTAAACCGAGTTACACGATTCCCCGAGCTCACCCGCATAAAGGCATCACAGCGCTGATAAAAGCGTTACTGCTTACTTGAATAGTTACAAAACGATCATTTTAATTTTTTGTTGGCAGAGAGCATCTGAAGTATCTGGAACTTGTAAGACCCAAAGTGTATGCTCTCCTTTGGCCTCCGAGCTTAGCGCCGGTGGAAACGGCTGCTCGGCAGGAGCTGACCCTTCATTCTTGGGGCTGCAGTGATGCTGGCAGAGCCGGTCGCCTGTCACTTGCTGGCCATGGGTGGTTGCAGGACCCGGGATGCGGGATCTGGGATGCAGGACCCCGCTGCCTGGCCTCCTGCACTCTACCCCACCGGGGCAAAGCCCACGACCGAAACCAGGAGCGATGCGGGGAGCCGGGGAGGCAGGGTGGGGCGAAGAGAGAGGGTGCTGGCCACAAATGGGCAAGGGTGCGGCACCCAGTGGGAGCTGGCACCTCTTCAGTCACCGTCGTGGGTGGGGGCCCTCCCGGGAAAGGCTGGGAGCCTCTGAAACATGGAAACGTGCCGTGGGAGTTTAACCACAACCAGGTCTTGCTCAGAGACAGGCAACAGGCTGCTGAGGGTCCCCAGTGTGAACAAGGAGAGCAGAGGGGTCACACACTCACCGTGAGTCTCTCCCGCAGAAATCTCATGTTGGGGACCCGGTAGTTGACCTGAGACAACATGTTCTTCAGATCCTTGGCAGAGATCCTGGCTCGGCAGGGGAAAGAGGAGAAACACGCTCAGGAGGTCTGGGATGGAGGGATGTCACCCTGGGACCGGGACACCACATGCACAGAGTGGCCGTGCCCGAAGGGGCATCAGCTGTGACACACCAGGATGGATGCCCGACCCCAGAAGGACACCGGGGTTGGGGCCAAAGGCAGAACAGAAGAACGTTTTCCACCCCAATGAACACACCCATCTATGCTGGACGTGGGGAGCAGAGAGAGGTGTCGGCGTGCCAGTAAGAATTGCCAACTCCGCTCCTGCAAGATCCTAACACCACAGGGTGAGTCCCAGCACCCTCAGCCCGCTCGAGCCAATGCCGCAATGGGCACTCAATGCCTACTGCTTTACGGGAATGACCGAGGAGAAGCATTTTTCAAGTATCTGTACCCCGACATGAATGTTGGGTGACCAAATCCCTTCCCAAACCCACTCCCTGGCCAGCAGAAGGAGCTGGAGGAGGGCAGGTTTTGCGAGTGGTTTGGTCCTGGCTAATTTTATCCTAAAGAGAGGAAAAAGAACCCCCTATTTTCAGTGCCTAGCCACAGGCACAGCGCTGCCACGTCGTGCCCGGCGGCTCTCCCCCAGCCACTGCCACACGCACCGCTGGCACGGGGCAGCCGGCATGGTTGTCCTCCCCCCTCGGCCCTTTGCACCAAACCTGCCAGCTCCCAGACCGAGGGGGGCTCCGGTGCCAACCCCGAGTGGGATCCGGCACCCAGAGACAGGCAGCGAGGAGCCCTGGGCTGCCCCTGCCCGCTCCGGCGTTGTTCCCCCATGAGGCAATGGCCCTGCTGTGAGTTAAAACGTGGATGTCTCCCATCTGAAGGATTTAAGAAGCCAAGAGGTCTGCATGCAATCATTTTCTGGCAGCTCTTGCCTTAAAAGCAAGTCCTCTGAGTCCGCCCTAGCAATCACAGATGCTACTTTTCCCCCCACTGAGAGAGTGGGAGCCCAGGACCCTACAGGATGCTTCCCCATCCTGCAAAGCGTAGGGCACGTCTGACCCTGGGAACGCTCACAGCTTTGGGATGCAAATATAAATATGCCAGGGCAGATGTCCTGTGCAGGGGTCACGCTGTCATCTCCAGCGATGCGGAGGGGCAGTGTGAACCGCATCTCTCTTACCCTCTCCCCTGGAAACGGGGTGATCTCAAACGACACAGAGAGGAGGAAGGCTGGAAGGAGCCCCA